CCTCTTAAAAGCCTCTGATGCATACATTTCTGGTTCCAGGAATAAAGGCCTTAAACCCTACTATTTGCCCTCCATTCCCTCAGAAAAGAAATATAATGCAGGTACATACACAAAAAGGAGCTACTGGAACATAGGTGAGAGTGAACAAAAGCAGATAGACTGTAATGGGGAGTGCATACTCTCTCAGATAAGAGCAGAGGGAGAGCAATATAGAGAACATCCTGTTTCCATGGCTTTTAGCCTGGAATAAGGTGCAGTCCTCACAGTAAAGTGAATGAGGTGCATGAAAAGAACCTGCCGTCCTGCAATCTGGAGAATCAGGGCACAGATGGTGGGAAACTGGGAACAATGAAAAAAGTGGGGGTTCCAGCAAGGGAAAGTGGTAAAGAGGGGATCCCACAATTGTGTCTACCATACATCCCCCCAGATGGCCCCTGAAACATACACCTGCAGAAAAAGTTCAACTAAGGACAAAGATCTAAACTGAGGTCAGAGCTGCTGCATAAGAAACAGTTTTTAGTTTAATTTCAGGCATGAAAATTACTTGCTAAAGTGAAGGAATCAGCATTACTGATGAATAATAATGGAAGATAGAATCTTCACCCATTAAGCAATAACTCTCCATTCCTCTTTCTCCCCATCTTCTGGTATCTATATTCTACATTATTCTCTATGAATTTTCCTATTCTACACATTTTATATAAGTGGAATCATAAATATTTGTCTTGCCTTTTCTTATTTTACTTTACATGTTTTCATGGTTTTAGTATGATTCAGAACTTTATTTCCTTTATGGCTGAACAATTTCCATTGTATGTACATATCACATTTTATCCATTCATCTGTTGATGGATACTTGGGTTGTTTTCATTTTCTGGCTGTTGTGAATAATGCTGCAATGACATTGTTGTATAAGCTTTCTGTTTGAGTTCCTGTTTTCAATTCTTTCTGTTTTATACCTAGCAATGGAATGCTGGGTCATGTGGTTTCCCTAAATTTAGCTTTTTGAAGAACTCCCAAAGTATTTGTCATAGTGGTGGCACCATTTTACCTCCCCATCAGTAATGTACAAGATTCTAATTTCTCTATATCTTTGTAAATACATGTTATTTTCCTTTTTTTTTTTGAATTATAGCCATCCTAGTAGGTGTGAAGTGGCATTTTACTGTGGTTTTTGACTTGCTTTTTTTTTTTTTTTTTGCGGTACGCGGGCCTCTCACTGTTGTGGCCTCTCCTGTTGCGGAGCACAGGCTCCGGACGCACAAGCTTAGCGGCCATGGCTCACGGGCCCAGCTGCTCCGCGGCAATGTGGGATCTTCCCAGACCGGGGCATGAACCCGTGTATCCTGCATCGGCAGGCGGACTCTCAACCACTGCGCCACCAGGGAAGCCCTTGACTTGCATTTTTTAAATGACATCATGTTGAGCATCTTTTTATGTACTTATGCACTATTTGTATAACTTCATAAAATAAATGTATATTCAAGCCCTTTGCCCATTTAAAAATTGAGTTTTTTGTCTTTTTGTTATTGAGTTGTAGGAGTTCTTTGTATAGTCTAGATATTAAACCCTATTCCATTGGTCTATTTGCCTATCTATTCTTTATATATGATTTACAAATATTTTCTCCCATCAGATAGGTTATCTTTTCACTTTCTTGATAATGTCTTTTGATGTGCAAAAGTTTTTAATTTTGATGAAGTCCTATCTATATATATTTTCTTTTGTTACTCAGGCTTTTGGTATTATACCTAAGAATACATTGCCAAACCCAAAGTCATGTAGATTTACACCTGTTTTTTCCTGAGTTTTATAGTTTTAGATCTTATATTTAAGTTGCTAATCCATTTTGTGTTAATATTTATTATGGTTTTAGGTTTATTCACATTCTTTTGCATGTGGATATCCAATTGTCACAGCACCATTTGTTAAATGGGCCATATTTTACCCATTGAATGGTCTTGGAAGCTTTTTCAAAAATCCATCAGCATAGATATATTGTTTTATTTTTATTTCTGCAAGATGAGTAGTTCTGTGTTATAGAACTGTTAGAAATGAACATTCTGACTCTGAAAACTTTTATAAGGTACCTTTTATAAGGTCATAAATTCAGAATTCACAGTTTTCACCTGAGATAACAGATGGCATTATGCTAGTAGTGGTAAGGGGCATCTTAATTCCCCATACCCTTTAGAGGAGACAGGCTTGGGTGGTGGCAAAGGTTGGCTGTCTAATTCAGAAGTGGTATGGTCAGGCACAGGGTATTCCAATTTCTAATACCACAAATGGTGACAGAAGTTGTCATTAGATTAATTCCCTACATGGTTGAAAAATTTACCTTTAAAGTAATGTTTCAGCAAAAATAAAAATCAAGGTCACCGAAATACACCACCAAGACACTTTGCTATGTATAACACAGGTTTCTTAGGAATGTCTACCCATCACACTTGAGAAACAGGGACATGATGACCATGCTCTGAAAATCCACAAGCATCCAGGTAAGAGGGACTGAACACGGCCCCCTAGCTAAGGCATGCAACACTGTTTTCCATATTGTATCATTGAACAGGTTGAATCTCATGATGGGAAACATCTTCCTCTCTGTTCCCATAGGTACCTCTTTCTCGTCTTTATAAACCACATGTTGTGGCACCTCTGTTCCAAACCTCATCCTAAAATGCTCCCATGTCTGATGGAGATGTTGTTTCTGTATCCCATACACAGTGCTCACAGCTGATAAAATAGCCCTCACCACATGGACTGTAATTCTCCATTTGTTTGTGTTTCTAGATCCCTGGGGAGCAAGGAAGCCCCAGGGCAGTGTAATTTGCCATAAGTGTTTCTTTTTTTTTTTAACATCTTTATTGGAGTACAATTGCTTTACAATGGTGTGTTAGTTTCTGCTTTATAACAAAGTGAATCAGTTATACCTATACATATGTTCCCATATCTCTTCCCTCTTGCATCTCCCTCCCTCCTACCCTCCCTATCCCACCCCTCTAGGTGGTCACAAGGCACCCAGCTGATCTCCCTGTGCTATGTGGCTGCTTCCCACTAGCTATCTGTTTTACGTTTGTAGTGTATATATGTCCATGCCACTCTTTCACTTTGTACCAGCTTACCCGTCCCCACCCCCCATATCCTCAAGTCCATTCTCTAGTATGTCTGTGTCTTTATTCCCGTCTTACCCCTAGTTTCTTCATGACCTTTTGTTTTTCTCTTAGATTCCATATATATGTGTTAGCATACGGTATTTGTTTTTCTCTTTCTGACTTACTTCACTTTGTATGACAGACTCTATGTCCATCCACCTCACTACAAATAACTCAATTTCGTTTCTTTTTATGCCAGAGTAATATTCCATTGTATATATGTGCCACATATTCTTTATCCATTCATCTGTTGATGGACACTTAGGTTGCTTCCATGTCCTGGCTATTGTAAATGGAGCTGCAATGAACATTGGGATACATGACTCTTTTTGAATTATGGTTTTCTCAGGGTATATGCCCAGTAGTGGGATTGCTGGGTCCCATGGTAGTTCTATTTTTAGTTTTTTAAGGAACATCCATACTGTTCTCCATAGTGGCTGTATCAATTTACAGTGCAAGAGGGTTCCCTTTTCTCCACACCCTCTCCAGCATTTATTGTTTCTAGATTTTTTGACAATGGCCAGTCTGACTGGTGTGAGATGATATCTCATTGTAGTTTTGATTTGCATTTCTCTAATGATTAATGATGTTGAGCATTCTTTCATGTGTTTGTTGGCAATCTGTATATCTTCTTTGGAGAAATGTCTATTTAGGTCTTCTGCCCATTTTTGGATTGGGTTGTTTTTTTGATATTGAGCTGCATGAGCTGCTTGTAAATTTTGGAGATTAATCCTTTGTCAGTTGCTTCATTTGCAAATATTTTCTCCCATTCTGAGGGTTGTCTTTTGGTCTTGTTTATGGTTTCCTTTGCTGTGCAAAAGCTTTGAAGTTTCATTAGGTCCCATTTGTTTATTTTTGTTTTTATTTCCATTTCTCTAGGAGATGGGTCAAGAAGGATCTTGCTGTGATTTATGTCATAGCATGTTCTGCCTATGTTTTCCTCCAAGAGTTTGATAGTGTCTGGCCTTACATTTAGGGCTTTAATCCATTTTGAGTTTATTTTTGTGTATGGTGTTAGGGAGTGTTCTAATTTCATACTTTTACCGTATGTAAAAGTCCAGTTTCCCCAGCATCACTTATTGAAGAGGCTGTCTTTTCTCCACTGTATATTCTTGCCTCCTTTATCAAAGATAAGGTGACCATAGGTGCGTGGGTTTATCTCTGGGCTTTCTATCCTGTTCCATTGATCTATATTTCTGTTTTTGTGCCAGTATCACACTGACATGATACTATACATAGAGAATCCTAAAGATGCTAGCAGAAAACTACTAGAGCTAATCAATGAATTTGGTAAAGTTGCAGGATACAAAATTAATGCACAGAAATCTCTGGCATTCCTATACACTAATGATGAAAAATCTGAAACTGAAATTAAGAAAACACTGCCATTTACCATTGCAACAAAAAGAATAAAATATCTAGGAATAAACCTACCTAAGGAGACAAAAGACCTGTATGCAGAAAATTATAAGACACTGATGAAAGAAATTAAAGATGGTATAAATAGATGGAGAGATATACCATGTTCTTGAATTGGAAAAATCAACATTGTGAAAATGACTCTACTACCCAAAGCAATCTACAGATTCAATGCAAGCCCTATCAAACTACCACTGGCATTTTTCACAGAACTAGAATAAAAAATTTCACAATTTGTATGGAAATGCAAAAGACCCCGAATAGCCAAGGCAATCTTGAGAACGAAAAATGGAGCTGGAGGAATCAGGCTCCCTGACTTCAGACTATACTACAAAGCTACAGTAATCATAAGTGTTGCTTAATGGAAGAATGATTCATGAGTTCATGAAAATACATGAGTAAAGAGAGCTGTGATCCAGAGACACTCACCTGTCTGATAAATGGCCATATATGATGCTTCCCACCAGCATTCCAGCCATGAATAAGAATTTGGCCATTGATTTTAGTGACTGAGATTCACATACCAGGTCCCACTGGAAGAGAAGGAAACCAACAAAGGAGAGCTCCACAACTTATAACCCCTCAGTGGAAACCTGATTGAAACAGTTTAAATGATTTACACGTTTCTTTGTTTCAGCCCTTTTTTCCTCTCCAGCTTCCTTTTTTACTTTAGTTGACTTTTATCATTCAGGTATCAGCTTAAACCTGTTGGTTATATTGATGCCTTTTTAAATTCCATAATAAGTGATCCTCAAACATGGCCACAGAGTGCAATCATTTGAGGAGATTTAAAAATTTACTGATGCCAGAATTTCATTACAGATCTTCTCACATGGTTGCTCTGGGGTACAGCGCTTGGAGGTTTTGATCAATATCCCTGATATTTCTCATTTTCAAGCCAGGCTGAGCATTACTGACCTTTTAAACACATCACATAAATTACTTGCTTAACCTTTGGCCTTTTAAATAATAAAAGCCATATAATAGCAAGGTCTTATCTATTTTTGAGTTCATTAGACTCATTAAATATATAGGTGTCTGGCATTCAGTAAAGAAGTAATTAATATTTGCTGAAAGAATGAGCACCTAATAGTGACTAAAAATTCTAGAAGCTTGTTCATTACTCTGTCACCCTTAAACACCCACACCATGCACTCAGAAGAGGTAAATGGGGCCTTTACCTCAGTCACGACGGTGGAGAAGAAGGAGCTTCGGTCATACACCCAGCCGTCCACGCAGGGCTCCGTGTCCGGGTCACTCATGTTGGGGAAGGTCCCGTTCAGGTGAAGGAGCTGCCACTGGGGGAGGAGGAAGCGACGACACTTCTCTGGCCTCAGGTTTGAGTCCAGTGGGATGGAGATTCTCAGGAGGGTGTCTTGGCTGAGGGTCCCAGTGCCATTAGCAGAGTCAGTGTCATTGTCAAGGATGTGAACCCAGCAGCGATGACCAGGAACAGCTGCAGTGAAGTTCTCCAGTAGAATATGAGGGTACACTATGAGGCTGGAGATACAAAGGAAAACCATCTGAAGGATCTGGAATCTCCCCAGGCCTCCAACTTGATCCAGGAGGTCCTGAAAGGCCATTGAGCTGAGCAGTGATCCCCAAGGGGAGGCAAAATGACTATTTAGAGAAGTTCAAAGGGAGAAAAAGTTTCCTTTCAAAGCTTCCTTTCACTATGTCACACACTAAGTGTGTATTGATCCTGATCTCAGTGTTAGCTCAATGGGCTCCGTCTCACCTTCACAGCAAGGCCATGGAAGCTATTTCTCCAACTTGTTTGGGGATCAGATCGGTAACTGTCTTCTTTAAAGTCACAGAGAAATATTTTGCTGAGATGCTTCCAGCAATTGACAAAACTGTTTAAAGGTCTACTTTGTGAAAATTCTTTTTGTCAGCAGTGTCCCAAAGTGACACTGGACTTTGAGCTACACATCTGTAAATAAAATAAAATAAACCTGCTACATGGTTTGCAGTCCCTTTCAGAACATGTCATTTGTCAGACTCGAAAGTGAAACGTGTTTTGTTTTTCTGTGAAAAGTACTGAAAGTAAGTGCTTTGCTTTTTAGTACTGACTTTTGATTAAAAGAGTTAATGAAAATAGTCCTGAGTTCATTTAAAGCAAGTGAAATATGATACAATATTTTTCTTTTGGTAAATGACATTATTCTGCCTAAAGTCAAATCAAACCATGATTTCACATTGAAAATAAATTACTCAAAATGAGGTCAGGGTGGGTAGTGATGGAGGGCAGAGGGCTAAGTCAGTGGTAAGTGCATAGAGAAGTTTATTTTTTACAGGCTTATAGATTCATTCGGATAACATTTGTGAGGACCTGTTCTGTTCTAGGAATATAGCATTGTGTTAGACAAGGTCTTTAAGTGTAACACTATGGTGAGTAAGGGAGAGGTATGTAAATAACTACAATCTGATACTATAAAACATATATATGGCAAATGCACAATGTGCTATGGAAGAACTGAAGAGCAATATAGGAAAAATGTCACCTTTGTTAGCACTAAATCTTCCATTAAAATTTTTTGGAAGCCTTATTGTGGTATAATTCATATAACACATAATTCTCTTTAAAATATACACTTACATGCATTTTATTTGTTCACATTTGTGCATCCATGACTACGCTCTCATTACAGAAGATTTTTGTCACCACAAAAGAAACCTGTACCCATGAGGAGTCACACCCCATTCCCCACTTTACCCCTAACTCTTAGCAACCACTAATCTACATCTGTCTCTAGGGATTTGCCTAATTTATGTATTTTATAGAAATCACATTATAAAATATGTGGGCCTTTGTATCTGGCTTCTTTCTGGTTTTTTTTTCATTTAACATAATGTTTTCAAGTTTCATCTATGTTGTAACATATGCCATTCTTTCATTCCTTTTTATGACTAATTAATTCTTTTTTGGCAATTAATTTGACTTTATTATTTTCCTACAAATGTATTTAATTTTTACTTTATATTGGAGTATAGTGGATTAACAATGTTGTGTTAGTTTCAGGTGTACAGTAAAGTGATTCAGTTATACATATACATGTATCTATCCTTTTTCAAATTCTTTTCCCATTTAGGTTATTACAGAATACTGGGCAAAGTTCCCTGTGCTATACAGTAGGTCCTTGTTGGTTATCTATTTTAAATATAGCAGTGTGTAAATGTCAATCCCAAATTCCCAATTTATCCCTCCCCCCACCTTTCCCCTTTGGTAACCATAAGTTTGTTTTCTAAGTCTGTGAAACTGTTTCTGTTTTGTAAATAAGTTCATTTGTATCATTTTTTAAAAGATTCTGCATATAAGAGATATCATATTATATTTGTCTTTCTCTTTCTGACTTACTTAGTATGACAATCTCCAGGTATACATCCATGTTGCTGCAAATGGCATTATTTCATTCTTTCTTACAGCTGAGTAATATTCCACCGTATATATGTACCACATCTTCTTTACCCATTCCTCTGTTGATGGACATTTAGGTTGCTTCCATGTCCTGGCTATTGTAAATCTCATTGTAGTTTGCATTTATCTAATAATTAGTGATGTTGTACATCTTTTCATGTGTTTTTGGCCATCTGTATGTCTTCTTTGGAGAAATGTCTATTTAGATCTTTTGCCAACTTTTTGATTGGGTTGTTTGTTTTTTTTTGTTTGTTTGTTTTTTGCTGTACACGGGCCTCTCACTGTTGTGGCCTCTCCCGTTGTGGAGCACAGGCTCCGGACACGCAGGCTCAGCGGCCATGGCTCACGGGCCCAGCCACTCCACGGCATGTGGGATCTTCCCGGACCGGGGCACGAACCCGTGTCCCCTGCATCGGCAGGTGGACTCTCAACCACAGCGCCACCAGGGAAGCCCTGTTTTTCTTTTTTGATATTGAGCCACATGAGCTGTTTGTATATTTTGGAGATTAATCTCTTGTTCGCTTCATTTGCAAATATTTTCTTCCATTCTGTGAGTTGTCTTTTCGGATTTTTTGTTTGTTTGTTTTTATGGTTTCCTTTGCTGTGCAAAAGCTTTTCAGTTTAATTAGATCCTATTTGTTTATTTTTGTTTTTATTTTCATTACTCTAGGAGGTGGATCCAAAAAATATTGCTGTGATTTATGTCAAAGAGTGTTCTATGTTTTCTTCTAGGAGTTTTATTGTATCTGATCTTACATTTAGGTCTTTAATCCATTTTGAGTTTATTTTTGTGTAAGGTGTTAGAGAACGTTCTAATTTCATTTTTTTACATGGAGCTGTCCAGTTTTCCAAGCACCACTTATTGAAGAGACTATCTTTTCTTCATTGTATATTCTTGATTCCTTTGTCATAGATTAATTGACTATAGGTGCGTAGGTTTACTTCTGGGCTTTCTATCCTGTTCCCTTGATCTCTATTTCTGTTTTTGTGCCAATACCATACTGTTTTGATTATTGTACATCTGTAGTGTAGTCTGAAGTCAGGGAGTCTGATTCTTCCAGCTCCGTTTTTCTTTCTCAAGATTGCTTTGGCTATTGGTGGTCTTTTGTGTATCCATACAAATTTTAAGATTTTTTTGTTCTAGTTCTGTGAAAAATACTATTGATAATTTGACAGGGATTGCATTGAGTCTGTAGATTGCCTTGGGTAGTATAGTCATTTTGACAATATTGATTCTTCCAGTACAAGAACTTTCATATATCTTTCCATCTGTTTATGTCATCTCCAATTTCTTTCATCAGCGACTTACAGTTTTCAGAGTACAGGTATTTTGCCTCCTTAATTAGGTTTATTTCTAGGTAATTTATTCTTTTTGATGCAATGGTAAATGGGATTGTTTCCTTCATTTCTCTTTCTGATCTTTCATTGTTAGTGTATACGAATGCAAGAGATTTCTCTGTATTAATTTTGTATCCTGCAAATTTACTGAATTCATTGGTGACCTCTAGTAGTTTTCTGGTAGCACCTTTAGGATGTTCTATGTATAGTTTCATGTCATCTGCAAACACTGACAGTTTTAATTCTTTCTTTCCAATGTGGATTCCTTTTATTTCTTTTTCTTCTCTGATTGCTGTGGCATTTGCCTTATACATTGACTTGCTCCTATGTTGGGTGCATATGTATTTATAATTGTCATAACTTATTCTTGGACTGATGCCTTGATCATTATGTACTGTCCTTCTTTGTCTCTTGTAACAGTCCTTTCATTTTAACAACTTTATTGGAGTATAATTGCTTTACAATGGTGTGTTAGTTTCTGCTGTATAACAAAGTGAATCAGCTTTATGTATACATATATCCCCAAATCTCCTCCTTCTTGCGTCTCCCTCCCATTGTCCCTATCTCACCCATCTAGGTGGTCACAAAGCACTGAGATGATCTCCCTGTGCATTGCAGCTGCTTCCCACTAGTTATCTATTTTACATTTGGTAGGGTACATATGTCCATGTCACTCTCTCACATTGTCCCAGCTTACCCTTCCCTCTCCTCATGTCCTCAAGTCCATTCTCTATGTCTGCATCTTCAATCCTGTTCTGTCCTTAGATTCTTTTTTTTTTAACATCTTTATTGGAATATAACTGCTTTACAACGGTGTGTTGGTTTCTGCTTTATAACAAAGTGAATCCATTATACATATACATATATCTCCATATCTCTTCCCTCTTGCATCTCCCTTCCTCCCACCCTCCCTATCCCACCCCTCTAGGTGGTCACATAGCACCAAGCTGATCTCCCTGTGCTATGCGGCTGCTTCCCACTAGCTATCTATTTTACATTTGGTAGTGTATATACGTCCATGTCACCTCTCACTTTGTCCCATCTTACCCTTCCCCTCCCTGTGTCCTCAAGTCCATTCTCTAGTAGGTCTGTGTCTTTATTCCTGTCTTGCCCCTAGGTTCTTCTGACCCTTTTTTTTCTTTTTCTTTTTCTTTTTTTTTACATTCCATATATATGTGTTAGCATACGGTATTTGTTTTCCTCTTTCTGACTTAGTGCACTCTGTATGACAGACTCTAGGTCCATCCACCTCACTACAAATAACTCAATTTCATTTCTTTTTATGGCTGAGTAATATTCCATTTTATATATGTGCCACACCTTCTTTATCCATTAATCTGTTGATAGGCACTTAGGTTGCTTCCATGTCCTGGCTACTGTAAATAGAGCTGCAATGAACATTGTGGTGATTGACTCTTTGAATTATTGTTTTCTCAGGGTATATGCCCAGTAGGGGGGTTGCTTGGTCATATGGTAGTTCTATTTTTAGTTTTTTAAGGAACCTCCATACTGTTGTCTATAGTGGCTGTGTCAATTTACATTCCCACCAACAGTGCAAGAGGGTTCCCTTTTCTCCAGACCCTCTCCAGCATTTATTGTTTGTAGATTTTTTGATAATGGCTATTTTCACCAGTGTGAGGTGATATGTCATTGTAGTTTTGATTTGCATTTCTCTAATGATTAATGATGTTGAACATTCTTTCACATGTTTCTGGGCCACGTGTATATCTCCTTTGGAGAAATGTGTATGTAGGTATTCTGCCCATTTTTGGATTGGGTTTTTGTTCTTTTGATATTGAACTGCATGAGCTGCTTGTAAATTCTGGAGATTAATCCTTCGTCAGTTGCTTCATTTGCAAATATT